TCCTGAAACTCCAGTGACTCTGCTGGGATGGGATTTACTATCTCAACTAAAAGCTCAAATTCTCCTCCCCCCAGGCAGCTATCTCTGCCGCCCCCTCCTTCAGGAACAAATAGATCCCACAATGTGGACTGATGAGATGAGTGTAGGGCAAGCCTGGATGGCCCTCCCTATTCAAATAAAACTCAAAAATCCCCCACAGTTTCCACACCCTCAAGCCTGAGGAAGATGAGGCCTTATGCCTATCATAAATTCCTTAAAAAAAACAAGAGCTACTAATTAGTTGCTCCAGCCCATATATAAATTTAAAATTCTTATAAAAGTTAATTTTAAAATACAAGTTACAAAGTAAACAACTGAGGATATAGATAGGTAGTGAATGTATTTTTTGAGAAGTTAAAGGAAAAAGGAATGTTTTTTGGATGAGAAAGGATTTTGTAGATAAGGGTTTGTCCTAAAGATTGTTTCAAATAGGAGGGATAAGGACAAACCATTGAAGGGTTTAGTATGTTACATAAAGGTCTGAGTAAGTTTTAAAAATGTATAATAAAAAGCTTTGATGTGTAACAAAATTAAAGTTAAAAAGATTTTTAGGGTCATGTCAAACTAAAATCAAATTCTCTATGTCTATAAAATAACAAGGTTATCTTAATATTGTTCTGCTCTGAGTAACATCTACAAAAACTGTTACAGAGAAAGATTTTATCAAAGAAATTATTTGTGTTTTCTGCTGATCTTGTCAAGCTTTAAGTACTACTAAATCAAAGTTCATTTACATATTTGCTTATGTGTCTTAAATGACCACCTTGTAACAGTGTTGTGTCTATACTTTATCTAAATATGGTACAAGCATTTACAAAGTTATATAAAAGAAAATAAGCTAGCGCTCTCTTTTATCCAAGAGTGTTACATTTAAATCCTGACAGCCCCTGCTTCCCATAGGTCACCTATCTAGATGTGGCCTTAAAGAGACACACTCACTCCCTGAGTCATGAGTGCATCAACCCAATCATCCATTTCCCTCCCCCCCATACCATAAGGCAGCTTAGATCTTTCTTGGGAGTTACAGGATTTCGTAGAATCTGTATCCCTAGATATGCAGTCCTTTAGCAGACACCTTTTATGCTTCTTCTAATAAACTTGCCTCCAACAGACCCTGCTCATCTGGCTGACTATCTACCTTATCTTAACCTTTTCAGGGAACTTCTCAGACAGCATATAGACCAGATCCTGCCCCACCCTATAACAATTTCTATTAAACCAGGGGATCTTGTTCTCCTAAAGGATCTTCTACCCTCTCCATTGGGACTTCAGTGGAACAGCCCTCATCTGGTCATTCTCACAACACCCACTGCTGTCAAGCTTAATGGGATCCCTCAATGGCAGCACCTCTTAAGGAACTGTTAGAAAAACAGAGAAGGGATATGCCTATGTTTCTTGCTCTCCTATTTTTAAGCTTCCTCCCTTGTATCATACCACATGTCTGCTATTGCTAATCAAAAGTTTAACCAGTTGTACCTCCAGGGATATCAACCTCTCCAAAACCGTCCAGAGGACTGCTATTAGGGCTCCTACTAGAATGCCAAAGGAGCCTGAGGATCTTGCCCCATACAACGCCCCTGCCAGCAGGAAGCAGCTAAGAGGCTGACGCTTCGCCCCAATTCCTGATCCTCAGCTCCTACCCTCATCATTAAAGAAAACATGGGGGAATGATAGAGTAATAATGATGCCATTTTGTGAATCGGCAGCAAAAATGGCAGCCCTGCCCCTTAACAGAAATTCCCATGCTCTAAGACAGCCCCACCCCTACTAGAGACTCCTGTGCATGTGCTAAGTTCCTTAACCTCCCCATTCTATAAAAGCCACGCCTGGCCCAGAGTCTGTGCTGTGCCATCTTTTCCTGGCCAGCCTGGAAGTTCGAGCCTGCCATTAAACTTTGCTCTTGGACATGGGACTTTTCTCGTGAGCTTTCTTTGTGAGCGGTGTTTTTCCTAACAAGACTAACAAAATCTAGAAGACTGAAAATGCCAAATGTGGTAGAGAAAGCTGGTAATAAACCAGTACAGCCATTTGGGAAAATGATTTGGTTAGGAAAGCAAGTCAAAGGTGCTTTTCCTGTGACCCAGCAAGTTTCTACTGGCATTTATTCTAGAGAAACTCATTCCAGGACATGTGGAAATGTTTATAACAGCATTGTTATAGTAACAAAAACTGGACAACTCAATTGTTCATCCACAGTACAGTGGATAAATTTTGATATATTCCCATAAGTGACTATAGTATAGCAGTAAAAATAAATCAATGTGGCTTCATTTACTGAAATGGATGAATCTGAGAAATATAATAATAAGTGACAAAGCAAATTCAGAATACATATATTTGTCGCTATTGCAAAAGTCCAAAACCATACATATGGCATTCCTTGAAAGCAGAGGGTACAGAAAGGAGTGGGATAGAAGGTAATTCAATGATACCGGCAATTGAGAAGGCCAGTTCCTGATTAAAATCCTATGTGTGATCTTCATGCCTAAGCACAGACAATGACAAAGGTTTTACCTGGAAGGGCTCATGGCAGAAAGCTGCTCTCACCACATCAGACTTTGTGGCAGCAGAGCAGAAGTCTCTGCAGGCACTGGTAGTGAGGTCTCGGGCCCTGGCTGCTCCTGCTCTTGGCTATAGATATTCTGTAGAGTATTTTCATTCCTGGCCCCAGCACCCTCATTCCTAGGTTTCTTTACCTGAGGTAAAGGTCTTGTTCATGTGCCTCTGCTAAGGCCTCCTTTTGGGGTGGAGCAAACACCGTGAAGACACATTTTCGCATTATGTCTCAGAACCCAGTACCCACTCCTTGCCCTTCCTCCTTGTCACTCTCCCAATCCCAAGGTCCATAAAACTGCTGGAGCCTTTTGTCTGGGGCTGTAGAAGTGACTAGAAACTCAATTCCTTTTTGTCTCGTTGCTTTACTTGGCTACCTGATAGCTCAGCTCTTGCCCAGAGCTTGTGGTAGTAATTTTTTTCTTAAATTGACTGATACAATAGAACTACTTTGAACTTCTATAAAAAAGTATTTAAATAATTAAGTTCTGTGGAATTCCAATAGGCAGGACAAATAAGATGAAATAAGAAGCAACTGTTCAAATTACTGCTTCAGTACTCACTCAGAATACGAAGACAAAATAAAATAAAATAAAATAAAATAAAGTATATGAAGACACCATAAAGGAAAGGTGCTTTATTCTTTAAAAAATCTGGGTGTAGCACCTAGGCATGGTGTCACATGCCTGGAATGCCATCACTCTGGAGGCTGAGGCAGGCGGGTGAAGAGTTCAAGGTCACCTTGGACAACATCCTATCTCAAAAAAAAAGTGTCGGGAAGAAGGTGGATATAAGGGTACCTTTTAAGGATATAAACAAAATCATAATTTTTCTCTTTTTTTGATATGAAATTCTTTAAGCAAGGCTGCTTCTTCCTCGTATTTGATTTCCTGTTGTGTTTTGGGTTAAATGTGATGTTTCAAATCTATCTAAACCAAGTCCCCAGATAATAAACTTCTAGTTAACGAACCACACTATAAAGAGGCATGTGCTCATACAAGGTCTATAAATGTCTCCCTTCATTTGACCACTGATAAAGTTACATTGGTCCTTAAACTACTTCCTTCAAACTTAAGAGATTTCATGTGCCATAGTTTTTCCTCTATCATACAGGCTCTGCATCTACCTGCTTTTGGTCTTTTTCATAGCTGGATTGCTTCCTACCTATGCCTCTTGAGTAGGTGGGATTGTAGATATGAAATACCATACCTGACTTGTTTGTTGAAATGGGGGGGGGGTCTCACTAACTTTTTGTCCAGGCTGGCCTCCAACTGCAATTCTGAATAGTTGGGATTACAGATGTGAGCTAGTGCACCTGCCCTGACTATTCATATGCAGAAGCTTCTCTTGTTATCAAAAGATCATGGTTGCCATATCTGAACTTTTCTTATGAGGCCCTACAAAATCATAATTGGTAAACAATAAAACCACACAGCAATTCATGCCCACATTGTATAGTCACACATTAATACATTTTAAAGCTGAAAACATTACTGGAGATTTATTTTGATGACTGTACATAGTGTAATTAGTTATAACTTGCAATGTCCTTTTGATATTTATGACAACTATAATAGGTGGGGTAGATAAAATTATCCCTATTTTGCAAATCTGGAAATAAGCAAATAGTTTCCACAACATCCCTGCAGTCCTATGGCTAATTGGACCTCAACCCAAAAATGGAATTCCTGGACCATTGTGCACATCTGTGAGTTCTGTCACTCTCTACTTGGTCCCAATTTGTGGTATAACTGTAAGATATTAAACTAAATAAATGTAGTTTATAATAGTGAACAAATTATTAATCTTTACTAATAAGAGTACTAATGCTTTTATCAAAATATGATTCTTTGGGGATGCATTTTTATTACTTCTATATAAAGCACTGATGGTAAGGCAAAGTCAATTTATTATTTTTAAATAAATAAATTTTTAAAATTTAAGCTGATAAATAAAAACATAAAATTATATGTGTTAATGGGGTACTGTGTTGTTTTGATCCATGCATACACGTGTAATGTTTAAATGTTAAACTGTTTTAATCATTTCTTCTAGATTTCTGAAATATACAGTGCCTGATTGTTTTCTGTAGTTGGTCTACCTGTAGTTGTACCCCAGAACTGTAACTTTGTACCTACTGACCAGTTTTCCCCACTCCTTCTTCCTTTCCCCTCTCCCCAGGCAAACTGATGTTAACCATGGCTTCCCTCAAATTTGCTTTTAATGTACAATTTTTATGTGTATGTTCATAGCTCCCAACAAAGAGATACTTTCTGAATCCTTAACACTGATCAATACAGAAATATAGTTCCACCACCACTTCTAAGACAGGAGGAAATTAGCCATAAGAACAAATTTGGACAAAGTTACAAGATTTTTGTTTTGGTTTTTGGCATCACTTTCCTTACCTCCAAAAAGATGGAATCTCTTTTTGCAACTTGGTAAGGGCCATTTTGCAGAGCTGGATTTCTGAAAGCTTTGCTTTATTTTCAAATATTCTTTAGCAAAAAATGTTTTTGTGGCATTGTTTAGTTCTAGAGTAAAGCAAAAGAAAACAATTTTAAAGATTAATTTGAGTACAATTGCAAGAACACAACAGATGATTGCTGCAATATTTTGATAATAAATTCAGATCTCTTTTGTCTGTGAAGACAAAAATGGACTCAACTTTTTAAAATCTCAATCAAACATACCTCATCCAAATTCACATTTGGTGCAATTTTGCTGTGCCTACACCTAGAACATACTCCTATGTTGGGTTCTATGCCGAGTATGGAGGGTACAGTGATGAATAAGACATAGTCCCTGCTCTGAAATACACTACAGACTAAAGCATGGAAATAAGCAGGGAGACTCATGTGTCATGGGTGCAGTGAGTGAATAGCTAGAGTGCAATCAGGGCTGAGGAGTGAACAGAAAAAAGCATGTTACACCTTTTCATAATCAGTTTCATTCATTCTATATATGATGGATTGCATGTCTATTTAGTCTAATGCTGCAGACTTGAAAGTTTTGAGATTTGAAATTTTCTAAGGAGTTAAAAAAGGGAATATTCATTTGAAGCACACACAAATCAACCAGAGGCAACACACGATCTCCTCTTATAACAGTATGGCGTTTCTGTAGTGCCTTCTCAGTCTCCTTCCTGCCTCTGACTGACTTCAGCTCCCACTAGTTGCACTGAATTACTGTCTTGGATTGATTCTTACCTAAGAAATTCAAAGGGAAAATTGATTCAGAAAGTTTACACTTGATAGAACCAAGGTCCTATCTTTTAAGATAGGACCAAGCGAAATTATGTATTAAAATTGCAACTCCATTTCTGATTTCACACCCATGTGCCAATAATTTAAGCATACCAACTAGAAAAAGATATTTTCATAGTCTGCATATTCATTATGTAAGCTAAGCTGGGGTTGTTATGACTACCACATTTTTTGTCCTTTATATGTTTAATAATTTCAGGATGGATATTCTCAGGCTGGTTTCTGCAGCAATGCACAGCTTTTTTCAAGTCCATTCACAGCCCCTTACTTCAAGACAGTTGAGGCACTGTCACCTGGTTAAAAGAGCCCATTAGAGCTATTCATGCTGATGAAGAGACTAACAGAAGTTATTTAATGACTTATAGGGCTTACCCTTAAGTGCTGATGACTATAATTTGGGGGGATTTTCTGAGAAATTAAAAATTCTATGAGATAAGTGATACCTTCTTAATTAACCATTAGGAAAACTCACAATTTTCTGAATGTTCTTATAAGTGAGCCAATGCAGGGAGTCAATGAAGACTTAATATGAGATAGAACATAAACTAAGGGGAAGAGTTTACAACTCGAGAATTCCTACTGTGTTTCCCTTCTTTCTCTCCCTCTCCCTCTTCTGGGAATCTTGTAGCCACATTCTAAAATCTTGATGCAATAATCAGACAATACATTGGACAACCCTCTCTTACACTGAGAAATTAATAAAAAATATAACTGGACTCTAGTACAACAGAGATGAAAAGGGCATAAGATTTATTAATACCTGCAGTTTTGATAACTGGCCACAACTTTTCTAGGGAGTAGCTGGGATAAGTAAAATTAATAACGTTGACCATATTATTTAGTTTCCTGGCTTTAAGGAACTTGGTATTTACCTTTAAACTATTTATTTCCTATTAAGTAAGACACCAAAGAAGGAAAGTGTTAGGAAATAGCTTTATAACACCTGAGAAAACTATGATTACAGAAATGATTAAAATTTGCAAGATGAGAGAATTGTACCTACATATACATCTGAATGTCTACAACACAATCTTGTGAGGCTCACATTTTAGGATGAGCCTATACTTGACCAGAAAGACTTTTGAAGAGCGAAGGATCCAGAAGCTCTTCTCCCACCATTATTGGGATTATTGACCAAGAGGAAAGACTACCAAGGAGCAGAGAATGGAGTCTGTTACTAGGAACCACCTGGTCTGAGTTGGGAGAATTGAGTACTCAGGGTTATGTTAGAAAGAAGGAGGTTATGGATAATTAGCAGTCAATTATCAGTGCCCATTACAAATTTTTCTATCAACTTCCCTTGACATCAGTATACCTTGATATTCATTTAAAAAACAGATACTAACATCTCTATCCTTTCCTTTCTCCCACTCCAATGTTCTAACTTGAACAGTGGTAGGTACTTTATCAAGATCACAGCTAACAGTGTTAAGTAATTTAAACAAGATTAGTAACTAGTGAATGTCATAGTCTAGGTTTACAAATCATTATTTTGCTAAAAGAGCACTCTCCATAATAAATCTGGGATGAATTTTACTTTATTTCTATACATTGAGCAACTATAGTAGAATTATGTAACAACAGATCCATTATTCACTGTACAAACATTTTGAGTTCCAATATAGAGTGACACCTTTCCTTCTTTAAACTTTGGCAATAATAATTGCTCCCTGGTTTGCACACAATTGGAATGGTGACACTAGGTAGATGAGATATTAATTTATCCAGCAAATAACTGTCAAGGCTCAATAAGATGACTGGCAACAAAAGAATCTAAGACTAGAAAACTAAGTTTCTGGAAAATATCAACAAAAGCAGAAAAAGCCAGAAAAGGGAAAAAAAAAACTCATTTATAATAGTAACAACAAAATATACACACATAATGCTAGTAAGAAATATGCAGAGCCTTTGCAAAGGTGGTTATTGAACTTAATTGAGAAACATATACTATAATAATCACTCAATATTACAAAATTAAAAATTATAAAATATAATTAAAATTATAAAATTACTCAATATATAAAATTAAAATGTCAATTATCCTCAAATTAACTTAATTTTAATTGTGAGTTAAATAACATAAATGCTAGAATAATTACAAGTGAAGTAATTGGACAGGACAAGATAGGAAGATGAATGGAAAAGAACCTTTGTCAAGAAGCACACATTTAAATAATTATTACTACTGCTTTTTAAAGGAAAACAATCCAATCAGCATAGGAAGAATGTATTGTTCCATGAATGCTGTTGGGACAAATTCCTAAAGAATGAAGAAAGGTGCCCTCAATGCAGAGAAAATAAAGCAGATACTTTAAAGCGACTGAGGCCAATAGGAGAAGGGGACCAGGAACTAGAGAAAAGGTTAGTTCAAGAAGAATTAACTTAGAAGGTAACACACTTGTACAGGAAATCAATGTGAGTCAACTCCCTGTATAGCTATCCTTATCTCAACCAGCAAAAACCCTTGTTCCTTCCTATTATTGCTTATACTCTCTCTACAACAAAATTAGAGATAAGGGCAGAATAGTTTCTGCCAGGTAGTGAGGGTAAGGGGGGTTAAGGGAGGGAGAGGGGTGGGGGGTAAGAGAGAGGGTGGGGGGAAGGGGGAAGAAATGACCCAAACATTGTATGCACATATGAATAAAATAAAAATTAAAAAAAAAGAATGAAGAAAGGTATTTTATTATTAAGTAAACCATGCACCATAACAGAGAGACTGGAGTTAAATGTGAGGAAATCAGGGCAAATACAACCTAAAACAAATATAGGTAAAGAGAATGTTTATGAAATTTTGTGGTAGGTAAGATCTTTTAATATTTAACTTTGAAATCAGAAATAATAATGACAAAGATCATTACATTTGGGACAAATAGAAATAGTGAAGTTTTGTGGACTTATAAAATATCTTAACAAAATTAAAGTACCATACATAACAAAAATTGACACTAAATTTAAAAGAATCCTCATGGTCAGGAACTTAAAAAGAAAATTGGGATGGCTAAGACTCTAGAGACAACAAGTCCTCATATATTGCTGTTTGCAATAATTCAGGAGTGTCATTTTTCAAAATATATGTAGCCTTAAAAATACACAGATTTGGGCTGGGGTGTAGGTCAGTGGCAGACCACTTGCCTAGCATGCACCAGGCCCTGGGTTCGATCCCCAGTACCAAAAAAGAAAAGATAAAAAAACCCTGTAGGCTTTACTTACCATTTCAACATCTGGAACTTCATCCCAAGAAAAAACTCTGTGATATGGTCAGATATTTATTAATGAACAAATATCATTAAATTAATTTATAAATAAACAACAAACTAAGTATCTTATAGAAAAGACTGTCTAAGTAGAGCATGGTGTAATTACAAGAACTTTAAGTTAGGCAAAGGAAGAAAGAAAAAGAATATCGTGTAACAACAACAACAAAAAAAGTTTTAGTACATTTATAAAATGTTCTGGAAGGAAACTCACTAAATGTTGTCTTTTAATGGCAGGAATATGGATGATTTAAGCTTATACTTTACTTATATCATTTTAAAAGTTATTTTTGCAGGAAAACTGGAACATGTACTTTTGGGTAATGATGATGTTGCCTTCACTAGTTTATGTTCTGATATTTCCTCAACTTTGTGCAAGAATACCATAAAAACAATGTCAGAAAACTGACACTGCATTTGCTCTGAGGATGTGCTTGAGAAAAATATTTACTCTATGTCTTAATATGTTCCATAGAAGAAATTACATAAAAATTCCTTTTAAAGATAAGTGCCAGAATATTCATTGCTTATCTTGAGGAACTGGTATATTTTAATGTATCATGAAAGTCATTTAGTTGTGTATTCACTTTTATTTTTCCTTAGGTAGTCTGAACATTTAAACCCAAATATTTCATTTAACTATAGTTACTCTTCAGGGCTATGTGGCTTATATATCTTCCCGTTTGCCCCTACCTGGTCTTTATAGTCCATTCCAATGCATAATTCCTTTCTCTTGCTATTTTGCTGAACATTTTCTAGAAATCATCTCAAATCCTTTTAATTAAATAGAATATTCCCATTATTGTATCAGCTCTCAATGACAGTACACAAGCAAATATGGTCTCTACTGGAAGAGCCTGTATATATTCAGAGTATGACTTTATTTATTATTTTTTTTAAAAAAGGAAAGCATGAAATTGTTTTGATAAATAAACCAAGAGACTTTGTTTGTACAATTTTAAGACATAAAAGACACAAAATTTAAAATCCTATCAATTTTAAAGGTGATTCTAGAAAGCAGGGAGGTACAAGAGCTGTATTAACACTATGCGCAGTGGTAAATGAGACCCTGCAAGGTAGGGACACTATGTTTAAGTACCACCTAGCTGCTTCCCATCAAAACAAGTGTTTAGTTAATGATTTCTTTTACAGCTCGCCACAGATAACACTGAGGATGAGGATGATGTGTTACTGCTGTTTCTCTTTTGTTCACCCCAAATCACCCTGGTAGGGATCTGGCATTAGAAAAGAACCTTTTTCCCACTTTTACATTCCAGTCACAGGTCAGAGATGAGGGACTTTCAGTAAGCTTCCACCCTGTCATGAAAGTACTTGTTTCCTCTCTCCACCCCTATTTGCTCTTTCCCCTGTAAGGCAGAGTAACTGGTAACAGCCAGAGCAGTGATTCTGTGTGGCAGACTATATCCACTGGGAGTATCTTGAAGGCTGCCATTACATTTTCCTCATCATTTGGTTACATGCCCTGCAAGGTCTGCAAGCCTTGATGCAACTGCTTGGGTTAGGGCGCCCAATGCTTTCTTAAGTAATCTGATTCTCCCATGCAGAAGGGTCCTTGGATTTCTTTAGGGAAGAAAAATGTTCTGTTTATTTTCTTCAGTTTTACTGTTAATAAAGCACATACTTTGATTCCCATTTGTCTCCAATATGATTGTGGCAAGAATGTGGAGCTATATTTAGCAGTACTCTTACCATTTTCCCCTAGTTCTCAATGGTACGTATTTATTAGTTTTTATCTTTCTATTAATATGTTTAAAATACTGTGTTGTATTTCCTCTTTACATGAAATTTGGCGCACAAATCCTTATTCCAGCATTTCATCTTTCTTGTTTAAGAAGAAAGACCTTAACAACATCAGGATGGTTGAGAAAACTTAGAGTTTGAGTGAAAGGCTTAATAATTGTCCTCAGATGTTTACAGACATATTCTATGTGACTCTAGAGGAAATAATAAGGGCCACAGAAGTAGTAGAAGTGGAAGGCAGGTAAGTGGAATTAAAAACAGAAACGGTGTTATTTCAAATGGAATCTCCTCTACACTGGAAATGCCTATGTAAAGACTGATATTCTAGAAAGGATCTGAGTGTACAGTTAAGGGATTACAGGTGAGCATATATTTTCATATATAATTCTAACATAGCTGTATAAGTATTGTTTTATAAACTGGAGAGTAACACATCATGCTGTATATGATTTTCAACAACTTTTTCAGAATAACTTATAGAACCTTTTAGAATTAGAACAAAGAAGTAAATCAGATAGAAAAATCAGATAATTATAATGAAAGAGAAGAGTTACCTGTCTGGAAAAAGACTCTAGAAATAATTGTCCGACACAATGGGCAGGGAGTGCTTGCAGGATTGTCTTTGGCCAGAGTCCGTAAGCAGGGCTCACAGAAGATGTGGTGGCAAGGGTAACACATGTAAGGGTTGAAGTAAACATCCAGACACACTGCACAGATGTAGCTATCCTTTTCTTCTGCATATTCATTGTCATCATCTGTACTCATTTCATTATTCAAAGTCTGCAAAATACGAGAAAAACAATTATTCTTAGTTTAGTCAAGATTGGTTTCCTCATGAAAGAGAGATCGCCTTTATATTTTTGTTAAAGTGAAATATTTATGAGAAGCATGTAGTCTCTGTTTCTGTGACATATTCAATGTGATAGAAATATTACCTTTCAAAGCGAGAAGAGGCTGGATTCCTGCCTGTAATCCTAGCTACCCAGGAAGCAGAGATCAGGAGGATTGTGGTTCGAAGCCAGTCTAGGCAAATAGTTTGAGAGACCTTATCTCAAAAAATCCTATCACAGAATTAAAAAAAAATAAAGGGCTGGTAGAGTGACTCAAGGTGTAGGCCTGAGTTCAAACTCCAGTACTGCCAATAAATAAATAAACCATAAAAATGAAAGTGAGAAGCAACTGAAAATATTTTAAAAACCTCCTACGTTTAGTTATCATATAGTATTTTTAGGTAATACTAAATGATAAAACATACCTAAACACATTAAGTATATCTGTGTTTTTAAAATTTTTTTTACTACAATGTATTCATTACATAGGAGGGGATTCATAGTGACAATTCTGATTAGGCTTATACTGTACATTAGTTACATGGTCCTCATTGTCTCTCCCCACAATGCCCTCTCTGTCCTACTTAAAACAATTATGTGTTTTAACGAGCACTAGGTAAGTGTTAAATGTGCCAGTCCCAGGATTAAAGATTTTCCATCTACCCTACTCCTACCAAACAAACACATGATTATCACAAGATTTCAGAGCCTTAATATGGTCATCTGCCCATGAAGATAAGTGAGAGCAGGAGGTTGCCATAATTCATTCTCATACCATGCATGAAGCATTTTAAATTCTATACTTTGCTCCTTACTATACCTCAAAGTCAAGAAAGTGCTAAAGTCAAGGGAATTTCAGGTGGCAAATTTGGCAAAGAAACTTGGGGGGTAATTATGCAATTAGTTTTGCAGTTAGGAAATGAGCCCACCTCACCCAAATGGAGTAGTTAGGGAAGAGGCAGCTTAGCAGTTAGTAACCTGGGATCAGGTAGTAGAATTCCTGTCACTGAACCTCACAATATTTACATCTGTGAAGTTGTGAGAATTTATGAGGCAATTCACTGAAATCACTTAGCACAATATTTGGCACATAGAAAATAATGTTGACCACCGCCATCCTCTTCTTCATCTCCTCCCACAAAGCTTATCAAACTGAGATCCATGATTAATATCTTAGTGGGGCTTGGGTTTAAGAAATATCTGTATTAGTTTTAGAATTCCTGGCCAGAGCAATAAGACAGGAGAAAGAAATAAAAGGAATTCAAACAGGGAAGGAAGAAGTCAAATTATCCCTATTTGCAGATGATATGAATTTATACCTAAAAGATCCTAAAAACTCCACCAAAAAACTCTTAGACCTCAAAGAAGAAGAAGAAGCAAAGTAGAAGGGTACAAAATGAATATATAAAAATCAGTAGCTTTCCTATATACCAACAATGAATAGACTGAGAAAGAATTAACATCCCATGTACAACAGCCTCAAAAAAACAAAAAAACAAAAAAACAAAAAACTCCTAGGAATAAATTTAACAAAGGAATTCAGAGACCTCTGCAATGAAAACTGTAAGTCACTGAAGTAAGAAATTGACTCAGAAGATAGCTCTCCCATGCTCATGGATTGGCAGAATTAATATCATGAAAATGACTATACTACCAAAAATGACCTATATGTTCAATGCAGTGAAATCCCCATCAAAATTCAAATGATATTCCTCACAAAGACTGAAAAATTAACCCTAAAGTTCATGTGGAAGTGCAAAAGACCTTCAATAGCCATGGCAATACTGAGCAAAAAGAAAAATGCTGGGGGTATCAAAATACCTAATTTCAAGCTATACCACAGAGCCAAATAATAAAAACAGCATGCACAAAAGCAGACATAAAAGACCAATGAAAGAGAACAGAAGATCCAGACATAAATCCACACAGCTACAATCATCTGATTTTTGACAAAGGTGCTCAACACATACGATGGAGAAAAGACACCTTCTTCAACAAATGTTACTGGGAAAATTGGATATCTGCATATAGAAGATTGAAACTAGATCCTCATCTTTCACCCTATACTAAAATCAATTCATAGTGGATAAAAAAAACCTTAATATAAGGCATGAATCTTTTAAACTACTGTAGGGAAGAATCGGGAAAGCACTGGGACATATAGGCATAAGCAATAACTTCCTGAATAGAACTCCAATAGCTCAGCAATTAAGAGAAAGGATGAACAAATGAGAGTACATGAAACTAAAAGGCTTCTGCACAGTAAAGGAAACAGTCACCAGACTAAAGAGATAGCCCATAGAATGGGAGAAAATCTTTGCCAGCTATATATCTGATAAGGGCCTGGTAACCAGAGTATTTTGGGAGCTCAAAAAACTAAACTCCCCCAAAATCAATGACCCAATGAAGAAATGGGCAAATGAACTGAACAGAACTTTTTTCAAAGGGAAAAGTCCAAATGGCCAAAAACACATGAAAAAATGCTTGCATAAAGGAAATGCAAATCAAAACCACATTAAGTTTCCATCTCATTCCTGCTAGAAAAGCTACCATCAAGAACACAAACAATAGCAAATGTTTTTGAGGATGTGGGGAAAAAGGAACCCTCATATACTATTGGTGGGAATGTAAACTGGCACAACCACTATGGAAAACAGTATGGGGCTCCTCAAAAAAACTAAAAATGGAACTGCCATATGATTCAGCAATACCACTCCTGGGCATATATCCGAAGAAATGTAAGTCAGGATATAATAAAGACACTTGGACACCAAGGTTTTTGTAGCATTATTCACAATAGCCAAGCAACCGAAAAAGCCCAGATGTGCTATGAATGAATTAATGAATGTGATATACACACACAAACACACACACAGAGGAATATTATTTAGCCATAAAAAGAATGAAATTATGTCACTCACAGGTAAATGGATGGAACTGGAGATCATCATGTTAAATGATGAAAGCTAGGTTGAGAAAGATGAAGGTTACAAGTTTTCTCTCATATGTGGAAGGTAGATGCAAATGGTAAACATACACAAATATAGTCATAATCATATATACATATATATGTATACACCTATATGTATATGTGTATGTCTATATATATCTGTATGTGTATATCTCTCTATATAAACATGTTTCTAACAGTGGGAGAATAAAATGATACAGAGTGAGTAATATTGAATTCTATCATATCTGTGCAGGAACAAGGCACAATTAAATGTACTGAAAGTTGTTGAACAGTACAGGGATGGGGGAAAGGGTAAGGAAGAGTAATCAAGGGGGTTAGACCAATTAAATTACAATATATTTACAAGTAGAATACCAACACAAAACCACTTTGAACAATGAACATACACTTAAACAATGAAAGCAGGAATGTAAAACAGGTCATGTTAGGGGAAGGGTAGAGTAGGAGGGGGAGGGTGAATAAAGTGGGTAAAGGAGGGTGAATATGGCTGATGTACTTTTTATATGTGGATGAAGATGGAACATTTTAGGGAGGAGAGTGGGGGATGAGTGGGTATAATGGTGGGGATGAACTAAATGGGGTACATTGTACCAGTATACAGAAATGTGACAAGGAAACTTCCTGTACAGCTATTATAAAGTAATAAAAATGGTAATATATAAATAGTAATAATATTAATTTAATTAATATTAAATTTATTTAATATTATTAAATAAAATTTCTAAGTATCAGAAATAAAAAAGATTAAAGAAAATAGGAGCCTTTAGATTATATATTTATTCCTCCCCTAGTTCTATAAACATAACTTTAGTAGTTAAAAAAAAAAAGAAATATCTATATGCCACATGAAATGTAAAAGTTATGTAAATGAGGCAAATAACCTTGAGATATAGATAACCTTTGGCCATGGCTTGAATGTTTGTCTCTTCCAAAATTCATATTGAAACTTAAATCCCCAATGCAACAGTATTAAGAGGGGAGGCTCTGGAGGAGGTCAAGTCACAAGGCCAGAACCTTTAAGAGTAGGATTAGCAACCTATACAAAGGCTGAGGAGAACAGCACTCATCCGTTTTGCTCTTCCACTCTTCTGCCAAGTGATGACACAGAATTTGTCCTCTCCAAAGAAGTAGCATTAAAGGTGTCATCTTGGGAGCAGGGACTGGGCCCTCACCAGACACTGGGCCTTGATCTTGGGCTTTCCGGTTCCAAAAGTGTGAGGAATAAATTTCTGTCACTGTAAATTACCATCTGTGGTATTTGTGTTATATCAGGAATTACTTTGGTCCATTTGTGCTGCTACAGCACAACTGGATTAGCTATTTGCTTTAGGGCTAGATGGTTTTCCTTCCCCTCAGCCATTATTTTTTGCTACCTGTTGCCATTTTCCCTTTTACAAAGGATATATTTGAGTCTTTAGTCACTTGTTTTTAATTGGATTACCTGATTTTTCTTATAAACATGTAGGCATTTTTACTTAATGTAGTTATTTACTGTCACTGGTTATATGTGCTGTAATTTTTTTCTTTACTCTGGTTTACTATTTCACACTTTTCCTGGTATCCTTTGATGAAATGAAGTTCACATTTTTTTCTTCGTGGCTACTGGTTGTTCTTTTGTTGTTATTATTGTTGTTTGTTTTATTTAGAACTTTTAGTTGGGCGTTGAAATATATACCTATAATCCTAGCATTTGGGAGGCTGAGGCAGGAGGATCACAAGTTCAAGGTCACCTTAGGCTATGCAGTGAGATATTCAAACCACTCCAAACAAAACAAAGCAAAACAGAACAACAAAAAACTCTCAATTTTTCTCAGGGTCATTAAGATAGCATTATTTTGCATTTCATATTTCATAATCCTGTAACATGCTTGACACTGATTTTCATGTATGGCATGCCATGTGGATGGATTTTATTTTTCTTTCATTAATTGGCCCAGTTTATTGATTGCAGACTTCCATTTTCTGAGCTTCTCTGA